TAAATTCCACCAATTTAGTGTTTATCAACGTATATTCGAATTTTTCAATTTTTCTTAGTAAACTTTATCAGCAAAATTGAAACTTTTTTTTATTAACAAAAATTTTATAAAAATTATTGCAAATAGATCTATTTTTACGTTAAACCATCATTGTCAGTGCATTATTTATTAATTTATTAATTAGTATTATTATTGTTGTTTTAATATTATTATAATTATATACAATTAAATTCAAAAAAGAAACATGAAATTCTAATGAAAAATTTTAACAACGAAAAATTTAAAAATTGAACGGTTTTTGTTTATAAAAATTTACTAAAACAAATTGAAATATTAAGACATAAGTTGATATTTGTAGTTATTTTCATGTTTTTTTAGTTCAAACCTAAATTTTTGTTTATTTTATGCTTGATAGAACCAAAAAGCTTTTTTTGGTTGTCCTATGCCATCTTCGATGTTCAAATTGATATGTTTTGGTTGTGCTCAAATATATATATAAATATACCGTGTCTCTACTCTATTGATTCCTTGTATGTTTAAAGTGATTACTTGATTACTTAGTTTTTCAATCTTCAACATCGTTATTATATTTTTTAAACACTTTAACGTGTTTTCATTATTGATGATTACTCTGTTTCTAAATTTATTGGTATGAAGAACTCCAATTGCACTTTGTTGAATATTTATTATTTTTTATGACTCTCTTCATAATTTTTTCTTCCTGTTTGGTTGACATATGATTCATATAATATATTACTATGTTATTTCTGTTACTATTGTTGGTTGCGTTAGTGTTGTTGCTACTTTTTTGTTTTTTGCGTTCTATTATTTTCTGGATCATAGAATTTTTATATCCATTTTTAATAAGTAGTTTAGTGATTCTATCTAGTTCTGTTCTCCTGCTTTCTATATCAGAAGAGTGCGTGTAGGCTCGGTTACCGGGCCAACGAAAGGCGCTTCGGCTGTACATATTCAACTAATTCATCTTTTAGAATTGGTAGTGGTGAATGATTAGAATTGTATATTTTATCTATTATTATACTGATTATGTCCTCTACGGGGACATTTGTAAAGAGTCATTCCACATCCAAAGATGCTATTTTGGTGCTAATAGTTGGTTATGTTGTAGACAATATATCTATGAATTTCCTACTTGATTTTAAGTTAAAACTGTTAGGGGTGTAAGGTGTAATTATTTTGTTGAGAACTTTTACAATAGTATAAGTGATTGCAGGTCTTTGGCTAATTATTGGTTGTAGAGGGTTGTTGGCCTTATGCGTCTTGACCGTATGCATATCCTGGTTCATATTCACTCGTGAGTATGGGTATTTTACTTTCTGTTTTGTCATTGATTTTTCTGATGATCTCAATCAACTTTGTCTTAAGTTTAGCAGTTGGATCACTGCTAATCTTAATAAAATTGTCAGTGTCACCGAGAAAGCCATTAAGCTTATCATTATAATAATCTTTATCGGTCAGAGTCGGAGATTTTTGACAGAGAATGTTTTTAAAAAATTTTTATTTTTTCCTGAAAATTTTTTTAAGATTGTGTTTTTTTAAAGGATAAATATATATAACAAAAAAATCTTCTTTAAATCTGAAAATAAATGCTAATAATGTGAAAAGATCAGGGCATCGAACCGGAACCGAACTGTAACCGAAAACTGTTAAAAACCGAAATTTTGCTCGGAACTAAAACCGTAACAAAACCGAAATATTATTTGCTAGCTTAACCGAAAACCGTAACGAAATAAATAACGGTTCAATGCTAGAATTTTAAAAGAAAATAATTTGTCAAATTCAGAAAAAATATTTAGATATTATTTCGTTTTTAAAATTCTACGTTAATTTTTATTATCTTTGAAAATTTGTTATTTTTCTTATCGTTTGCTTTTTGAACTGAGTTCTCCGATCATTTAGTAAAAATTGCCACGTGAAGAGGAATCCAATATAATCGGAGAAATTAGAGATCAAGTACGATCATCTTCTAAATCTTTGCAAATTACAATTTGCAAAAAGTTTGGGAATAATTTTAATTTTTACAGATTAATTAAATTTTTTGTTTTTTTTACTTTTAACAAGTTTAACATTAACTAAACTGCGGTAAAGTTGGAAATTCGCGCTCCTATCGGTTTACATTTTCGATGCTACGCCCTTTTTTGCTATTTTAATTTTTTCGGGTTAAAATCGTAAACTTTAATGACAACAATAAACAACTTTAATGACAGCCTTTTATCTTTTATATTTAGAATGAGAGGAAACCGAGAAAACGCCAGCCAAGAATTTTTTGAATATAATAAAACGGACAATAAAAGTACTTGTGTTATTTGTAAAGCTGTTATAAAAGGAGATCATGCCGCCAACGTAGAACGTCATTTGAAACGTAACCATGATGAGAAATTTGAAAGTGTTCATCAAAGAAAAAAGTTAAAGTATGATGAAAAAAACAGCTTTTGCCACTAATCACCCAGATATTCAACACTAGACAACACAATTTCAAATTTTAAAGAGTTGAAAATCAAAAGACCACTATTAGATTGCCCAACCAGATGGAACAGTACATACAATATGATGACATCATTTTTACAATGCAAACAGTTTAGTTCAACCTTACTATTTTTCTGAAGACAAATGGGAAAAACTTAATTTATTAGCTAATGCACTCCATTCTTTATTTGAGACAACATTGAAACTACGAAGTGAGCAATTGACACTGAGTGATTTCTGCGGTGATTGGGTGGATTGCTAAAATTGAAAAATCTGAAAAATTTTTTTGCAGAGATTTTATCAAAAAATTTGAATGTAAGAGAAAAGTTGTTATTAAACAATAAAAGCTTGTTGTGATCACTTTATTTAGATTCAAGATTTCAGATATTGCTTTCTCTGTCGCAAAAAATGCAAGCAGTGCAACATCTAAAGTTAATTTGGAATAAACTAGTGTTTTTAAAAAAATCTGAACTAGAATTTATAGCTTTTTTAGATTTTATATCAAGCGAGTCAAATAATGAGCCTGTGGATGAATTTGAAAAGTTTCTAAAAAACAAAGAGGAAGAAATTAATTAATTTTTTCCAATGTCTGGTGATGTTGATATAGAATATTTTTAAAAGAGTTTGTAAACGTGGAGAGGTTAGACAAAAAAACGGGTTTTTCAGTTTTGGGAGAGAATAAAGAAAAATATCCTTAGTTATACAAATTAGCAAAGGTAGTGCTTGGAGTACCGGCTATACAAGTGAGCGTGGAAAGATTTTTTTCTGGATTAAAGTTTATCCTCAGAGACTGCAAAAGTGGTTTAAATGAAAACATTTTAGGAGATATATTAACAATCAGAGTAAATTTTCATCTTTTTTGAAACAATCTTATATTTATATAAGTGATTTCAAAACATCTTTGTAATGATTGTTTTTAATTGTTTAAAAAATATTAGAAACGTTTCCTTTTATACTGACAACGTTTAAAAATTATTTTTGTTATTGATTTCTTATTATTCACAAGTTGTAAAATTTAATTCAAATTGACAAAGTGGTGATAGTGGGATGATGGATACATGTATTTAAGGAATTATGCTTGAAAAATTAAGTTCTGGAGCGAAACCGAAAACCGATATTATTTCAGGAACGAAATCCGGAACCGAACCGAAATTCGTTTTGCTAACTGAACTGAAACCGAAACGAAAAAAATTACGGTTCGATGCCCTGGAATAAATTCACATAATTTATTTCAGTATGCTGTGAAGCATAAAAAATAATTTTAATGAAAAAAACAACTGCATTGACTGATTTTTTTAATTTTTGTAGTTATATAATAATAAGGTGAAATTATAATGCCAAAGTTGAATTTTTTCAGCATGTGTAAAAGACATAAAAATAAAGTAATTGTACTATGAAAATGAATTACATTGACTTATTTTAAGTGTTGTTAAAGTATTTTTTATTTAGTAGTGATAATAAGATGAAATTATGATACAAAAGTAAAAAATTTTATGAAATTTGGAACCCGGAGTTGGATATTTTTTTCCGGAGTCGGATTTTCTTGATATTGCTATTTTTAAGTATTTTTAATTTATTGAAAGACCACAAGCAAAGAGAATGAACAGGCAGAACAAAGCTAAAAATTCGGTAGATTTTATCAAATATTGCATATATATATATATATATATAATATATATATATAT